GCAATTGATTGACTGTCTGACCATGCAGGAACCATATCTGCTGCTAAAATGGAAGACTAAATACCTGAATGCGCCTATCTTAAATCTGGAGTTCGTCCGAATGAGATGCTTTAGCTTTTGCTATTTATTGGCTTCAATTCTCTCTACTTAAACCACTTTCTCCCCTGAAACAGTGCCGGTTCTGTAGAAAATAATAGTTTCGTTCTCAGGGGAAGGCGTTCCTGTTCAGGATATCAGCTATATATCTTACTGACCTACAGCACCCAGATAATATTGTTCCTCGAAACATTACGTAGAAATGGGCTTTGTGACTTGACGGCTATTGTAGGCAGTGAAGCTGCGGAAACAGCCCTCTTCCTTAACATCTGAAAGTCCAAAAACATGAGTAGATACTTCGATGCAGCAGATCTGAGTGCCAAGCAGAGAGATGAAGTGGCACAGGAAGCAAGCCAATTTAAGTGCCTCGACTTTATCGTTTCAAGCGGTGGCATCGTTCAGTCAGAGCCTAACGGTAGGATCAACCTCGCCTCTAGTGCCTTTGGTTAGTTGTCCAATATTGCGGATTAGAAAGGAGTAACCGTTTCTACAGAAATCTCATGTGCCCTGACTCTGTCAGGTCAGTGCTGTTGCACGTCATGGAGATGATTGTTATATAGCAGATTGGTCTTCGACTCATTATGAGGAGAAATGGAAAAACCACGTAAGGAGCGTCTATGTTACATTAAGAGCATAGAGGTCCACCAGAGTTGCCGAAATTAGGAATAGGAAGTTGGCCATGTTAAACAAACTGGTTGAGGAGAAATTGTATGTCAACCAGCTTTTGTGTTGGACAAAGCAGACTTTGACGATGATACCCGCTTTTTACACTGGGGCGCAGATCTGCTTTCAGTGAGGGCCATTTCCTTCTGCAGTGCAGTAACCGGTGCATTATAAAAAAGAGTTGTTAAGTTACGAATACAACGAGCATCACAAACCAAGGACCTTCTGCTTATCTAAAAGATTCAAGGTGATGACCTTAGCACAGACATATTCCCCCATCTCGTTTACAACGTCCTACTCATTTATTCACAACAACTTTGGGTTATTGCTGTACTCGGAGGAACTTCGTTCTGTTAAACTGATTAATATGTCACTGCATGAACAGAAATGCGAGGCGTCACTGCCGTGCAGCAATTATAAAGAAGGAATCCGGTAAAGCTGCAGTATTACTGCATTTATAAAATATTTCGTTTCACAAATAGTTCTGAATGGAGTAAAATATCTCCACAGCAAATTGTAGAAGTATGAACGCAACGAATAAACTGAAGTAAAGAAACAAATGAAGTGAGTGAAATTCAAGCCATCCGGGCAAGAAAAGTGCAACATGCAAGAAAGCAAATGAACAAAGACGAAACTCCCGGGGAAGAAAGAATTAAAGTGGAATTCATAGAGCACAAGGCTGAAAAACTATTTACGCGTTAACTTATATGTCGAGGCCATTGTAACGACAGTTTTACTACTTAGAAAGGACACAAAAATACCTCAAGAACCATAGATCCATTACTTTGACGCCAATCATCGGCATGGTCTTCACAAAGATACCGACAGACAGACTTCAAGGAAACTTCGACTAGGGAATACTCAGGGAGCAGTCATGATTGCGAAGTACGTATAAAATTATGGATCATCTTCAGAGGCACGTTACGTGACTCCAACTTGGAACGAGCATCAACTTCCGTTCAATTTAATATTCACTAACTTCCAATACGGTTTAGACTCAATTTGCACGCTATCTGAATTAGGTTCATGACATGAGTGGCAAAGTTGCTCATTACTTTAGCACCATGTAAATGTTGAAATATAGCACTACACTGAAAGAAGGTCACCGAAATGTAGTTTTAGGCATGGTTCGTCTTAAGAAATCAAAATAACGAAATGAGTGTGCGTCAAAGACTCGTTACCTCTCGTGCCGCTGAAGAGTCAGTATTTGAATAGAGAAAGAAGTTTGTGATAATGAAATCAAACAGAGAATAAAAGTTTCACAACTGCATCGTTCTCTTGTTAATAGCTGAACACAGAACCACAATAACAATGCCTGCATATTTCTGAACTTTCGCAGTCAGTAAGTAATTTAGATGACCGTTCATCCTTTCGAGTGGCGGAAAGAAATACGCCATATGGTTTCTACAACGGCCCTCATCCTGTGCCAGCAACTGAGCTTAGGAAGAAGATAGCTCGAGTTCGGATCAGAGTTCCTAGGCTAATTTTGGACCTCCGTGAGGTCTGCCATCGGTCGGTTTGGCAGAAAGTAGTTGCTTCGTCTTTCCGTCTGAAAGCAGTTACAAGACATGCTCAAACCAATGCAGCTGTGACTTCCCAATCTGAAGGAGCAATGGTTTTACACCATGGTTCTCTCTCTTGAATATCTGAACTTTGGACCATGTCGAGACGCGTTATGACAGCAATTCTGTCCGAAGGCCCATTTCATTCGCTTTAACACCGAATCATTTCTTTTCACAATTACAGCGTGCGACTCATGATCGTAGATGAATATCAGGATAAAGCTCGGCTTGAACGCAGACCGCTAAGTCTTCAGATTCAGCTCTGCTGTAATCACGACGGTTTGGGCGAGTTCACGCAGAACGCCACTGGCCATTCCGATTCCGTTAGGTTCGTTAGCTTCCCAAGCTGTCCCCCTCTTGCTCTGTTTATCTAGAGAGCTCAGTGGGCAGGGGAACGAGAAAGCTTTAGGCTTTTTGTTTCAGACACGTTCATGCCTGCTGGCCACCTCGCATTCGGCAGCGAGCCTTTCAAGAGAATGCCGGAGATCAGTTTCAAACAATGCTAACAAACCAAGGTCGTCTGCAAACAGTAACATTCTTGTTTCTACATCTCCTACACAGATACACTCATCTTCCTGATTGCACCTGATTATCCTAAAGATGTACAGACAGGAGCACAAACAGAAGAGACATAATGCGTCTTTGGCGGGGACCAGTGCCAACGTTGGAAGCTTTTGACTTGACGTAGTTTTCTAACGCAACACCCGTTTTTACCATGTAGTGACATCGTGGCTCGCAATAACAGACCATCGATTCTATATGTTCGCAGGCATGTCCACAGACTGTTGTTCGGGATCCAGTCATCGGTTTCTTCTAGGTCCATAAAGCAAATGTGAACCGGATAAGGAAACAGTTACGATTTCTCAACAGTCCGGCATAAAATAAATAAATGACCGAAGGAGTTTCGGCCAGACGTGACGCCACTGCTGTTTTGTATCATGGAGTCCGTTATTCCGCGGTACCGTCTTTTTAACACCTTAGCATAGACTTTCTCCTGAAGGCTCAATGAGATTATCCCCGATAATTAGAACACTTCCTGTGGTTCCCTTCCTTGAGCAGGAGTATTTTACAACCGAGTTTTTCCTCTACTTGTCTTTTCCCTGTAGTCCTTGCTGTCTGACAGACTGCTGTTGGCTACAACATGCCTTATTTGCATAAATCTTTAAGCATCTGAGGGCAATTTCATCGATTCCTGAGGCAATTCCACGTATGTAGCTTTGAACCGCCTGTGAATTCTTTTACTGAAAGAGTAACATACGTTGCCTGCTGCTGTTCTGAGAAGTTTCTCTGGGTTAAGGAGTTCCTTGAAGAACTCTGTTTATTGCCGAAATCTATTCTGTTCCTTGGTAGGAAGGCGTCAGGACTCTTAAGTTGCCTTTCTTTCCATTTCGGAGGAGACGATGGTCTGCCAGTGTACATCGTTTACTGTCTGGAAATTTGACTCGAGCACCTCAATGAAGCTTGCACAGAGACAGTTTTCATTTTGGCAACTGCTTTCGCTGCTACCCTCGTACTGGGGACTCTTTGCTTCCAAGCCGCCTCTTGAATTGAGCTTTCTTTTCACTGGCAGCCAGTTGGACCACTTCTGTTCACGAATAAATTCGTTTTTGAATCCTGGCCACCATTTATCGATTTCCAACTAGAACATTCAGCAAACGCTCGAGTAATTGACTTTCATTGAGCTTCCACTCAGTCTGGACGGGAGCCTTTATCATTCCATACGTTCCAACCGTCGCGCGCTATTGTC